TTTCTCACGGCACTTGATATAATTAAACTTATCAATTTGATGGTGGATCCAGAAAGGTTTAAACGACAATCACCAGTGACAACTAGAGATTCACCCGCTGTAAAATGCAAAAGACTTTGTTCGGACTTCGGAGTGGCTAACTTACAGAAAAAAAGAGACTGCAACCGGACCCATGCGAAAACAAGGATAAATATCTGAAGGACATTACATGTAGTCACGCAATGCTGACGTTGTTAACATTAACAATTTGAGAACAAAGTGTAATTTGCACGGTTTTGCGTGATATAAGCGATTTTTAGATTTAATCAGCGCGATTACTGCAATGTCAGAACCAGAACAAAAGTGGATGTTACTTACTAGTTCAGATGATATTTTCCGGTGAAAATTATTATGTTGGTCATACTTCCAATAAGAATAATCTGTGATTCTGAATGCCAGTATCCACACCGGCGCGGTGGCTGACAGCTGCACATTCTCCTCAAACATTGTGTTCATCCGGTCTGTGCCGCGTCGAAGTACAACTCACGTAAAGTTGATAATTCTGTGAATGACTGCAATTGCAGATTTCGAACAGAGATGGCGACAAAGAGGAAAAACTGCAGACTGCAGCTTTAATACAAAATATAACTGTTCATTGCTAGTACATGTTAGCTCAGTTCTATTAAATAACATAATTACAATAAATAACAGACAACCTTTGATTTTAAAGCTACAATATGTAATTTTTACCTCTTACAATAACAAAGGCGTAGGTTGATGACGCATAAGCGGAATTATGGAACTTGTCATCATTAGGGTTGGGTACCGAAACTCGGTGCCAAAAGGGAACCGGTTCCGACGTAAACGGTAGTAACCAGACCGAATAAGAAAGAAAATTTCGGTGCCTGATTTCGGTGCCTAACTTCATTATGCACACACGCACACACACACACACACACACAAGGTCTCTCGCTCTCTCCCTCTCCGCCGTGCGTGTGCTACACAGTTTGGAGCACAGTTTCTTCTAGTGATGGGCGGATCGATCCTGAAGTATCGATACTTTGATACTGACGTGGTATCGAAAAGGATCGATCCTCACATAAAAATATCGATCCAAATGTGTATTTTTTTACCTTTAATTTTTTATTAATGTAGCACGCAATTCAGTGCGTAAAATAAGCTTCTAAGTGGAAAAATAAGCGAATGTTAGCGGGTAATTGTGTAGGATAGAACCTTTTCTCCTAGTCATCTGTATACAAGACGAAACCAATCAATCACAGAGAGCGTTCGATGCTGGTGCTTCGCTGAGCTCACAGGCCCAGTGCGTTTGGGAAACGAAGCCTTGCTTAGATGACAGAGAAACAATCGGGAGTTATTTCGCAATAAACAAACCAAAACTGTACATAACGGTTTAAAATGTTGACGTTAGTAAGATCTTTTTTATGAAATTAATATTTTTATTCAACAAGGATCGATGCATTAAATTGATCAAAAGTGACAGTCAAGGGTTTTACACTGTTAAAAAAAATCTACTTCATATAAATGCTGTTCTTTCAACTTTGTTCATCAAATAATTCTGCATAAAATGTTTCATGGTTTCCAACAAAATATGAAACTGTTTTCAACATTGATAATAATAAGAAATGTTTCCTGAGCAGCAAATCAGCATATTAAAACGAATTATCATCATGACTGGAGTAATGATGCCGAAAATTCAGCCTTGATCACATGAATAAATTATAGTTTACTATGGCATAGAAAACAGATAGCCTATGTTAAATTGTTATATTACAGTTTTTACTAAGAGAAATAAAAATCTTACAGACCCCAAACTTTTGAACAGTAGGCTAGTACTAGTAGGCTAGTACTATAATTAGGGTAGTTTTGTAAAAGTCACTGACTAATTAAAGGGGAATTGAGAGCACAAATCACAAAATATTTAGGACTAGTAGTCATGAAAACATGTTCAGATTTAGCATATTAATGATGCATTCACCTCATAAATCATGACACACTGCTCTAGCACAGGAAAGTGCATACAAGTTCAAATGCATGCTTTTAAAATGAAAAAGTATCGGTATCGATATCGGCGATACTGGCCTTGTATTTACTTGGTATCGGATCGATACAGAAATTTGCAGTATCGCCCATCACTAGTTTCTTCTGTCTCGCATGCGCGCTCTTTCTCGCAAGGTTTGGCTGCATTTCACGTGTAAAATTACGTGTCAGAACGCCCTCTGGGTGTGCTGATAGTCTGAATCCCATATAGAATCAAGCCAATTCATTGGCTGATGGCGCGGGCACCGCATCGACGCAACGTCGTCATATGTTGGCGCGCGCGCGCCATCTGCTCCTCTGATTTCTCTGCCGAAAAAGGAAGCTGGTCGGCAGCGCGAGGAGCTTGGCAGCGTCCCGTTCCCTTTTGAGAGATATGTTACACCAGTAACCAGAGATGTTCTCTTTCATAGGTTCACTCAACGCTGCCTAAGAAGCAGTGGATTTGTATTTGTAGGCTGCTGTATCACGTGCCGTTTGAACTGACGCGCCACAGCGATCTGTCACATTTCAAAGAGCCAAAACGTTATTTATTGTGTGAATCTCGTAAAAATATTGACAGAATCTGACAGCTGTGGATTTGTTCCATATCAAAATAAGTAACCTTCTCTGTCTTGTCTGTCGGTGTCAGTGTACTCTTTGTCCGCGATTTCTCTGTGTGAAAAGGGTCATTTGCGTGAGTCTCACGGTCAATGCGTGAGAGTTGGCAGCTCTGCCTGCTAGTAATCTCTATTAATCTCCAGTATTATTACATTGTTTGATACAATATTGTTTCATTTCATTTGATATTATGTAAATATTAATTTTTATTTTATATTGGTTTTATTATTACCATATGCTACTTGTATTTATATGGTTTAAAGATTTAAGTTAATATTGTGTCCAGTTTGGCCCTGTAAATTAAAGGGTATTATTTTTTGATAAAGTGTGTGCGGTTTCATTTTCTTAAGCACCGTAACCGTTTAAAAAATACCGAGTAGGTACTGGAATCGGATAAAACCCAAACGATACCCAACCCTAGTCATCATGCTGATGGATATAATAATGTTTATGGATGAGTGAATACATTGATGTTTTTTAACATGACTGTGGTATGAAGCAGGTCACGATTGCTAATAAGAGACAGATATCAGCGCCACACGCGAGTCCCACGGATATAAAGGAATAAGGACATTTCATTCTACCGAACTACCCGCAAGTGCTGAATTACTACTCACACAGGTCAGTTTATTAGACGAATGAAACTTGTGAGGCAATACAGCGCTGTTTCACTTCCTCTAACAGTTACACTAAACTCCATTTGAGTGTGTTGAAAGTTATAATGTTATTCTATGTGTTAGTTTGTTGGCTGACTAGCAGTAAGCTAGATCAACATTAGAATAACATACTGATCATATTCTAACATTTCATCATGTTGAGCTATATAACATTGATTAGTTTTTATGTACATTTGCTCACCTGTCTAATAGGCTAAAGTACATGCAAGAGAGACGTCCCTGTCAAGTGAAGTCGAAGATAGTCGCGGATGTGGAGCTCTCGGCATCTCGAAAACGCCACGCTGATATTGATCCTCGTTTTAGTTCTCCTTTTGTCCCAAAGTCTGCTTGCCATGGTCCATAATGTTTGAACGAAACAACAACAGAGTGAGCGTGCCACTAGACGTTACGCAGTTGTCCACGTCTGTCCATGGTCACTATGGCAGTACAAGCGGAAACCAGGGATAACGCGGATATTATGTCATTGACAGGCGACAAGTGAACAGGGACGAGCCATTATTTAAAATTGGAATTTCTCTGAAATTAATCATCTTTGGGAATCTTTGGGATATTGTAAGTACACAACTGAAGGAAATATATCACACTGTGCAAGTGATTTTTTAAATATTTTATTTTTATTACAAAAAATCTTACATATTGTACCTTTAATATTAGGGGTGAGGGGGGCACAAATAACGCGGGGCTAGTTGTAACACATTTGTTTTAAATACTTCCACACAAGCTTGCATGACGAAACTTAGTGTATTTACTAGTTGCCATATCAATACTATATAAAGAAAAAATGTCTCCAAAATTCAGAAATCTTTGGAAGATATCATTGAACATTTTTTTAACCATTGCAAAGGTAAATTTCTTATGTTAATTTTTCATCTCTGTTTTTTGTGTTTATTTCAAATTAGACAAATCTGATATTATTTTAATCTCCAATCTGTTATTTAACAGTTGAAATAGTTCTTTAATGCTTAACTAAGTAGCAGAAGACACTAGCTGGGTTTAAATCCCAGTTGTGCAGGTGGGGCACGTTGTAACACTGCCTTACAATGTGCCCCTATTAGAACTATGCTATTCTTTGATGTTTAGCGATATAATTCACACTTGTGTTGAGGAAGAGGTGAATAAAGACTGTGAATCAATGTTCAGAAATGATTAATTATTATTATGTTTTGTACTATGTTGAATGGTTGTGTTTGTTGTCAAACTCAAAAATTAGTTTATTTTTAATTATTAAAAAATGCCATTATTTTCTATGAAAAAGTTAATAACTGTATTTTATTGAGAACATATTTTAGTTATTTCTTGGATAATTTTTTTATTAGATCAGATAACATTTTAAGCTGTCATATGGTCATGTTACAATGTGCCCCTCACGTGGGGCATGTTGTCACATTTCACTTCCATTCTTTCAAGAAAAAAGTATACACTGTATTAATGAAGCAACAGCACATAATTGTACTAGACAAAGACATGTGTGAAACTAATGCGAGAAAAAATAAATACTCTGAACCCTGAGTAGGTTTACAAAAACTGAGAAAGTCAAAAAGTGTTAGGTTGTGCCCCGCTCTCCCCTAGTAATGTTGAAATTAACAATAACTTGGTTAATAAAATGTCAGATCATGTTAACTAATTAATGTTAACAAATGGACCCTTGTTGTAACTTGTAAGGTGTTAATTATGTATCTACGGTATATTTAAATCTGTTCTAGGGGATCTGGTGTGAGCTTAGCAGTACTGAATCAGTTCACTCAAGGTACATCCAGAAGTACAGCAGACGCCCGCTGGCCCGATATCTCGACGGGTCCTGGTGGACATGCTGCGATCCTGCACAGTGGTGGAGTGTTCCGGAAGCTCTGCTGGTGGGCTTGTGTGCTGGTCGGGGGCTGGATGCTCTGTCACGCTCTCAGGGGACTGCTCGTCCTCAGCAGTCAGGGTCCCTTTCTGGTGTGCAAAGAGATCTCTGTCCAGCCAGTTTTGTAGGTTGCCTGAAAAAGGGCAGATGGTGTATCAAAATGAGATGTATTAATATACATATAAAGTAGGTAAATGAATGGATAACACCAATGTCTGAAGAAAGCAAACCTACTATGGTGGTTTGCAAAGTGAAGGTCTGAATCAAGCACATTCCGTTTGAGTCGGGAGCTCCCACATGATGTGACCACCATCCGAATGAACTCACGACCACAGAGTTTCACTCGTACATCTTGACTCTCAGTCTTGGAAGTCTCGAGGAGGCTTAATAAAGCTAAAGAAGCAAACCACTTAATGTTCATGGTGTTTCTTGGGGTGATCAAATTAGAATACACAATATTCAAGTGTGTTCAGGTACTTCAGGCTACCTACCAATACCACATTTGGGGGTTTTTATACTTCCTATCAGACCTTTGGCATGCATGGTTTTACAAGAATCTATCTGGCCTTGAATGAAGAAAAACATGTTCTGATCTTTGAGGCCTTCAAAGCTGGAACGTATTTCAGATAAAACATGTCAGCTGTGATATATGGTATTGCCTGGGGTCAAGGAAAATTGTGATAGCTGGTCACATTTTTCGTATTTTTATATAATATCTCTTTTATGAGTTTACAGAAATACGTCAATGAACGTACTATTTTATATTAGGGGAAGATGGGTAAGATGCCTCCGCCATGAATATCACTAAATGTCATCTAAACACATTTATTTAATGCTATTTATCTGAACACTACATTTGTGAGATTTATTCCATCTAAACACATATTCTAATCTAATTTTCTGTTCTTGGATAATAGTCATTTATGAATTTAATATATGCTGGACATTAAATGTTTTAATGTCTATTTGTTGATAGAGGATTTGTGGACACATTTATTCATTTAGATTGCTAGGGTAAAAAAGTATGTTGTTTTTATTTTGAAGTGAAAAGTGAATGGGACGGAAGCCCCCTAGTGGAATGTTGTTGCATGTGTTTCTTCTTGTTTTTTTAAATAATTATTATTAAGAATGTAATTATTATTTAATAATTTCGTGAATTAGGCACACATTTCCAAACATATTCACTATGGGACAACGAATTATATTAGAGAAAAAATTAACAAGATTTAATCATTTTATAATGTTGTGAATTAGACACATTTAAAACGTTATTTATTATTTATTTTGTAACAGTGGGAAGATGAGGGAAGATGTCCACAAAGGGACTTGTATCTTTAAATGTTTCAATACAACAGGACATTCCCACTGTGGGCATCTTCCCTCATCCGCACTGTTACAACAACTTTTACAACATTTTGCAAATTAATATGGTTAGGCTACAAGTCAGTTTATTGAATGACATTTAGACACTGATCATTTATTTGTTTAAATGTTGCAGGTGGGATAAGCTCAGTTGGGTTGAACATAAATAACAAACAAATAGGCCTACATTAGTTATTCCAGTCTGAATTCACTGTAGATGATCCCATAATTGACCGTTATGCAGTAAATCCCTGCTGTACGTGGCAAAGGCTGGTCTTTCCCGTACAACAAAAGCCACAAACATGCAGCTGTCAAGGGCTCTTGTCTTTACATTCCCTTAATTGAAGTTGAACATTTCTCTCAAAACATTGGCATCATGAGTCCTCTTGATCTTAAAATCCTGTTAGACATGAAGTCAGATGACTTGACTTCTCACTGACGGTAGCTTACGTGCTCGCTTCGCACATACATTGTTTTCAGAGACGACAAAAAAAAAAAAAGATGTTCATGGGAAAACTCTGAAAACAATACAAACAAAGCCTTTTATAATAAGCCAAAGGAAAGCAACTCCTCTGAGATTTTCATTCTGCATGGGCTAAATACAAAAGATGTTAGGCCTATTGGTCTCTTTTGCATCAGCTAGGGAGCCTAAAGATTGTACTAATAATTGTATTAAATTATTTATGTAGCGACATACATACAGTGAACTAGTTCTCTCTTAAAGAAACCGTTTTCATACGCATTATTCGTTTTTAAGTTGCAGGAGTATGTTATGTAATGCAGATCAAAGGTGAATAATGTAAAAGTTTCAGAATAGAAGTTTGACATGCATGATGATGAAAATATGATGTATATTATGGATATAAGATTATACTGGGGGAGGGGGGAATTATTGTAATCTTATGGCTCTGCAGATACAGTCTTATAAACAACAATCATTACAAATAATGAAACAAAAGAGGAAATCACCCTTCAGACCTAGGCCAAAAACAGTTCAAATGTGAGTTGGGCTAATCTGAAAGGGTGACAAAGTGCTTACTGGATATCCAAATACAATTTTCATAACTTAATTTTGTTGAGAAATGTCATGGTATCCAAATGCACCTCACCTATTCAGAAACATTGTGAAAGCAACACTAAATATACCAAAGGTGTCTGAAGGCCACATAAGTCTCACTTGATCCTCTGAAATCATTTATGTTTTAATTGAGGAAGAAAAATATGCAGAATCTCAGGATTCTTGTCTGTATTTGTATGTACAGTGCTTTCCACTTCCTTTCTTTTTTCTGCTGAACACAAAGGAAGATTTTGAAGAATGTCGTTAACCAGACAGTTGATTTACCCCATTGACTTCCATAGTTGGAAAAAAAATACTATGGAAGTCAGTGGGAGTTTGTATATTTTACAAAATATATTCCTTTGTGTTCAGCAGAAGACAGACATTCATACAGGTTTGAAACAACTTGAGGGTGAGTAAATGATGACACAATTTTCATTTTGAAGTGAACTATTTCTTTAAATCTTTTTAACACAGATTGTGTTGATGATACAAATAATAGTTTGCAGTCTGTAATAACATTTTATCCACTTGAATCCACTTGATGCCTGAAATTATTTGATAACTGAATAGATACTGCTAAAAAACTAGCACAAAGTAGTTCACCAAAGATCCTCAGTGACATCCCATTTGTAAGCCATCTTAAAGCTAATGGCTTAATTTTCTTTAACCTGGCGTTCACCCATCTTTTAAATCCCTGTTTAATTCAAGGCAGGCTGGGAACCTGAGCTGTCTGTTCAAGGGCAGTGAAGGCAGGGTGGATGACAAGGACATTCAGTGATGACACTGGCCAATGTGATGTCTATTGTCCCCATCAGTCTCCTCAGCTTGAGGCTCAAAGCAGTTCTCAAATTTCTTTTGAAATCTTTTCTTGAGGTTCAATCCACGCAGGACTTTTGTGTTAGTGCACTCCTGGGCCTTCAGCTTGGCGTAATAGTCAGAAAATTTGTTAAATAGGATGGAGATTGGCATTCCATTCAAAATAATGCCGAAAGATATGCACCCGAAGGCCACCACTCGACCGGAGTACGATATGGGCACCACATCTCCATAGCCCACCGTAGAGATGCTCACCTGTAACAGCATCAAAAAACAATGTCTATTTATAAATTGCAAATGAGGACCAGGACACTGCAAAATATACACAACAAAGGCCATGCAGCTTTTTCAAAATGAAAAGGAAAGAAGCAAAAGAGAGTTATGTTTCCATGTCAGTTTATCAGTTTGGTGATTAAAGTCAAAATTGTGCATGCAAGTCAACTTAGTATAATACTTAGTAAGCCTCCAGGAAGTTCTGAACTAATCTAACTTTTCCAATCAGCATGGATGCCTCCAATTGAGCGGCATTACAAGGTATTATATAAGATTAAACACAGCTGCCAGAGGATAAGGACTAACAATTTAAAGAGGATAGAGGGATACAACAGGCAGCCACAGCAAATGATGATAATGATAATCATTTTAAAAACAAACATTCACACGCAAGTGGTACTACTAAAAAACACACATAATGATGCCCACTGGTTTAATATTTGAGCATCAAAGTTATGTAAATAGTCTATGTAAGCTTTGCATATTTTGAATCTAAACGTGGACAACCCAATCAAATTAGGTTTTGATATTTTCAGTAAATCAAGAATACAGTCTCCTAAGAGAATTATTATTTATTTATTTTTGTAAAATGGGGCATACCAAAGAACTTCAGAAACAAATGAAACTGTTTATTGAGTCTAGTGCAGTGTTGATTTAGCATTATTAGGCCTATTTAATAATATTCTGAATTAGCTTTTATTTTATATTTTACATTTTCTGTTGTCATTTTATTTTTAGTTTAATTTTAGTAATTTTGATATGTGTTTTTGCCATTTTTATTGTTTTCTTAACTAGTACTGAAACTTATTTCAGTTTGTTGGCAAGGCAACATTTCTAATTTTCGTTTTTCAAAATATTTAGGCCTATATTGTATTTTTACTTTTATTTCAATTGCCAAAAACTAATGTTTATTGTTGTAGTTTTAGATAACAATAACAGCACTGGTCTGGTGTGAAAGACTGACCAGTACAAATCCCAAACCTAATCACCATTGGTCCCCTGTGAGCCCACTCCATCTTCACTGATGCTCTTGTCTCTGGATGAGGGTAAATCCCCACATCCATGTTCTAACATTGAGTTGAAAGCATTCCCAGAACAGATGAAGCTAATATAGCAGCAACATCCTAATAATAGCCATGGTTTTAATACTATTTGCTTAGTTAACACATGGGTCAATTCAGGGTGATTGGGACACTTTTTGCCATTGAGATGACTTGGAAAAAGTGTCCCAATCAACCTGATTTCGCCCCTATAGGTGTGCCGTTTGGATGTCCACATACTTTTGGCCATTTGTATTAATACATGAATCAGTTGTGCTAATTGTGGTGAATGTTTTGAGACATACTCACCGCTGCCCACCACCAGGCATCTGGTATACTGCTAAAAGGTGTTCCTACAGCATCCTGCTCCACTGAGTGCATTAGGGCGGAGAAGGTGAAGATCCCCATGATAATGAACAGAAACAGACAGCAGACCTGTTCAAAACACTGGCGGAGAGTGAAGCCAAATGCCCGCATCCCTGTCGAGTGCCTCGCCAGTTTCAGAATGCGAAAGATGCGCATGAGTTTAACAACTTTAAGCACTTTGCTAATTTTGCTAACCCTCGCCATGGTTTTCAGGTCATCTTGAACGCTGAGATCTTCCTGGTTAGCAAAAGCCTCAAATACCAGCTGGATAAAGTAAGGCATGACAGCCACTAAGTCTACTAAATTAAGTGCACTCTTCAAAAAATGCTTGACGTCACAAGTTGTCAGCAGGCGAAGGAAGTACTCAAAGGTGAAGAACAGAATTGAGGTGATCTCCACACACTCCATATAGGTTCTTCCATAGATTTTATAATCTTTCAGTTCGCTAACAGTATTTAGAGTCATCGCTACTATGGAGATGAGCACAAAGAGGCTGGAGAACACAGCAAAAGCCTTAGCAGTTATCGAGGAGTATGGGTTCTCCATTAGGTCCCATAGCATCTTACGAACACCACCCAAACACATTGACTTGAAACCCTCCTCACTGTGCTGAGGCTCAATTTCTGCCATAAGCTCCCTGTTCACTTTCAGCTGGTCTCTTATCTCGTCTATTTTCTCCTCGTAGAGAATGCGGCAACAGCGGGGACTGTCCCTCAAGTGCAGGCCCCAAAACTGCATTTCCTCCTCAAAATTGATAGGGCAAAGACTCTCCATTACCCATAG